ACAGAGAGCAAGCGAGTCTCCTTCTCTCCAGCCTATCCTCACTGCCCTCTGCAGGTCTAGGCAGAGTAATCACTCCATAGAGACCAAAGAGATGTTTATTCGAAGGTCTGGTCTCAGCTCTGTTTTCATCTTGTTCTCAACATAACCTTGGAGAACCAGCTGCTTCTTGCCCTCCAAGACCTAAGGCCAGACTATCACCCAGCTCTCTGGCCATCTACCACCTTCTGCATTGTGCCTTCACAAGGGTGACTCTCTCCTCAAGGCCCCTACCCCCATCACAGATCATTACACGAAACTTGGATGGTTTTCTGTTTTCTCGAATGTAGAACTCCTCAGGCCTGGAAGACATTTAACCATCTGTTGCCGTTTGCTGTTCTGGAGTTTTTCACTTGGTATGACTTTGGTCTCTCTAACTGAACAGCGGGTTCTTCCCAGGCCTGTCCTTTGCTGCTTCCAGTGGGAGATTGCAAGGGCTGGATGACTGCAAGAATGACTGAGTGGTGCTGCCTCCAAGCCAAGCCATGCAGCCTTGAGAGGCTAAACTGCGGTGTGTCCTAAACTGCTTGTGCAGAGAGTCTGCCTGGGGCCCTGCAGCTCCCCATCCTTAGGGTACAGATGAGTGAATACAGCATTGTCCCCCCAAAGTCAGATTAGTCTTTGGTGTCTAGAAACTCCATCTTGAGGACCTACTGTGTGCCCATGCCTGTGAAGAGGGCCTGCAGAAGAGGAGGAGGGGCCTGATTCCTGGGTTTCTGCCCTCTGCCAGTTCACAATCTAGAGAAAGAAGATTTACAGGTAGGAGAGCAAAGCAGGTCTGAGGGTGTGTGGCCACAACCAGAGCTGTGGAATGTGGTTCAATGGGTGCCAGAAGGAGAGTGATGGTGGCTCAGCTGGAAGGAAGCTGAGCACAAAGAAGGCTTCCTCCCTCATTGAGGAGTAGGAGGCAACGGTGAGATCTGCATAACTACACCACCTGAGCCAAGATCCATACCACATGGGTCTTCCTGACACTCCCCCAAAATAAATCAGCAACAAAATATAAACCCCAAACACAGAGAGAAAATGAGGAACAACTGTTTCCAGCTCCCACTTCCATTTGCCAACCTCCTCCCTCTCAGTGAGTGGAATGACTGTGGACATGAAGTGGCACTTGGATAAGTTTTAATGTTTAAATGTCACAGTATTACTTTGCCCCCATCTTTCCCTAATTACATTTCTCTTGGATGATATAAGATTTTAAAAAATATCTCAAGTCTTTCTAGAATATCAAGAGCAATGAGACCAAAGAACAAACCTAACCCGTGTTCCTTACAATTTTCTCAGGGGTCCTGCTCCTTTATTGCATTAGTTTGAGACACCTGTGTGTTATTGTTTTATCCTAAATTTTCTGCTGTGGCAGAGAGTTGGGAGCCTAAAAGATCCATCTCTGTACCTTTAAGAGATCAACGTCTTGGCAGAAGCTGCTGTTTACTCAGGGAGCTGTTACATGGGACCTGGTGTCCTGGTTGCTTCTGCCCCAGCAATCTGAGGGGAGGCGGGACATTTCACCAATCACCTGCCATTGAGCTGAGAGGTGAGGAATGTTAGCCTTAAGGGGAGACAACTCAAATCCAAAATACGCCATCCTCAGATGGGAGAGGTGGGAGAGGTAGGAGAGGTGGGAGGGTGAAGAGCATTCACCTAAGGGAGAAGGAGCTCTCCCCAGCTTTGTGTCCACATGTGAACAGACACAGGGAGTGGGCTGCGGTGCAGAAGGCCGAGGCATAGTCCTGGAGGGAGTTGGCCCTATGCCATCCGGAGTTTGCACAGGCATCTGAAGTAACCAGATGCCCCTTTTCATTAACTATTCCACTCTCCCACCTACTACTGCCCAGGAACTGCTTTTACTTATGTATTGGCTATTATTATTAATAAGAAGAAGAATAATGAAACACCTGAGAATAATTTACTTAAAGGGGGGCCCGAGGTGGTGGCAGGAAGAGTGGATGGTGAACCTTGCGCAGGTCCCTACTTTCTCAGCCCTACTCAGCTTGTTCCCTTCCCTTCCCCTTGTTCTTGCTATACTTTGAAGAGGTAGGGGGCAGGGAGAGAAAGGGAGACCTCAAGTAGAGGTTATTCTCCTAAACTCCTGTTCCGGCAGAAAATATATTCCACTCCTGTTGTGAGATCCTGGGTGGTAAACACCAGGACCACAAGATTATGTTGGAGGAGATATCCTGGACAAAGTTATTGGCCTCTGCTGATGAGTCCTGAAAGAAAAGGGGGGAGGAGGTCTCAGCCCGGTGGGTATACACACACACACAAGCAGACTGTGGATACAAACAGGGTCTGCGTACGCATACATCCACACTACATCCACACAAGCACCCGCAGCCCTGACAACACATAAGCACATACCTTCAGCCGCACACTCAGACCCTCCCTGTGCCTACCAGGGACATGCTTCTTCTCATTACAGCACTTCACAGGCACACCAAGCACAGAGCCACATGGCAGAGAGGCTCTCTGTGTGAGTTTCTGTTTGAGTCCATCAACTTGGATGATTCTTAGGCCATTATATAACACTGGATAATGTAAGCCCGGGAACAGAGTTATGAATCAACTATACTTACACACGATTACATCAAGCAAAGGCAGGAAAATCTTTAAATGAAAAGATGCAGTTTCACAATTACACAATTGTACTTGCTGTGCGGTTTGGGCCCAGGATCCTCCGGGAGAGGTGTCCCAGGTGGGCTCTGGGCCTGGGGCTGCAAACCTCAGGGCCTCCTCGGGCCTCCTCCTGGCGCTGGAGAGCTCTGCGTTGTGGTTGTACCAAAGGGTCTTGGTCTCGGTTTTCCGGCAGTTGGGGTCTCATTTCTTTAAATAAAATTTTAAACATATCGTCTAGTAATGTCATGTAATCCGAGGGCACGAAAAGAGAAACCCAAAACACCCAAAAGGGGTGGTGGGGGCCAGGCCAGGGTCAGGACAGCAGCCCTGCCCCAAACCCCGCGGGGAAGCAGCGCATTATTTTAATTTCCCCGGCTTCTAAAGCCAAGGAACTGCCCTGGAAAAGCAACTGTGAGAGAGGACGGGGCGCGGGTTATTATCATTAAAATGAAAATCTCTCTCAACCCAAGTTTACCGCCAGCCTTCACCCCCAGAGGCGGAGCTGCTCGCGCCCGCTCCCGCGCCGGCCACTCCCTCT